CTGGCCATCCCCATACAGGATCCGAACCCGCGGCCTTGGCGCTCCTAGCGCTGCACTCTCCTGAGTGAGCCACAGGGTGGGCATTGTCTCTCATTTATTTAACAGCTGCTTTGCAAACATATTAAATGTCAAGAATCAGAGAATGCCTTTTCATCCTTTAAAAATAAAACCAGGGCAGAGCCCTAGGCCACTCGGGAGAGTGCGGCGCTGGGAGCGCAGCAGTGCTCCCGCTGTGGTTTCAGATCCTATATAGGGATGACCCGTGCGCTCACAGCGCTCACTGGCTGAGCGCGGTGCGGCAAGTCTCAAAAAGGACATAAATAAATAAATAAATAAATAAATAAATAAAATAAAACCAGAAAGTGATTTCCTTACTAATCCAGCTTGGAAGTGTAAGGTAATATTACATCATGACAGGTAAAAATAAACAGTCCGTATTGTCTTTGATTTAAAGAACAAAAACCTCATTATTTTTCATTCATTCCATTTCTCCCAATGACCACACACAAAAAAACACACACAATTACACTAATTATGGTTATTGTTCATATTGTTTCAATCTATTAAAAATTAGAGGTACTTTTCACGTGGCCTGGTTTTTCAGGCTGTGAAAACCAGTATCAATCTGCTATAACTGTATCTTCATTAAAGTTTTTGAGGTATAATTTTATGATTGNATCTAGGCTGTTTCTGAATTGTTTTTATTTTGAGTAAAGCACAGTAAACATCCTTATGCCAATCTCTTCTCACTTGTGTTGGATAAAATTCTTGACATGGAATTGCTGGGCCAATTGCTATAAAACTTCATATCGCCAAATTGTTCTCTTTTAGAAAGGTAGTACTCATTTAAAATCCCAACTAGCCTATTTCTTTGCAAACAAGGATTACTTATAAAAAATATATTAACCATATTGATAGCAAAAGTATCTAGATTTAATTTGTATTTATTTGATAATTAGTGAACTTAGGATTTTTTTCCTTTTGTCTATCTAGGGGGCAGATTGAGGTTTCAAGGTTATAATATGTAATTTTTCTCTGATGAATCCCTAGTCAAATCTTTGTCCTTTTATTTTTTGTGCCTCGCTATATTTTACTTCTTTAAGCCAAATTATTAATTCGAGGTGAAAGTAAATAGAACAGAAAAGAACATAAAATACCAAAATGTGATATTCTTATGGAACTGCTTGCTTACATTATAAATATTTTACAGGGAACATATGGTTTATAAGTTTTTTATTCTTGAGAGTATATTACCATTTTTTAATGTTTTATTTGCACTTATCACTTTACAAATATAAATGAAGTTCTAGAATATTCCCAGAATTGGATAGCTTCTTTTTATTAACATACTTTTAGAAGTCAACACTCTTCAGTTAATCACAAATCTAAGCTCATATGAAATCAGAAAATAAACTTCACAGTGTTTTCCGGATTTGAACCCAGAGTAATAGTGGATGGCAGATGTAGTTGTTTGACTATCAGTTAAACAAACAAACAAATAAGAGGGAAGAGGAAGGGAATGAAAGACCATTTTCTTACCAAGCAATCACACACTTTATTGTCTAGGAAATAAAAAAGAAGAAGAAAGAAAGGAAAGAAAGAAAGAAAAAAAGAAAAGAGCCAGTTTTGTGTACTGTCGAGCACACAGATGTTCC